GGGTTCTTCTCAACGTGTTTGTAGGCTTAAAGGCGACTGCAATTCCATGTTGCCGTAGGTATCGTGCAGTCATCTCCACCACGTTTCTGATATACGGCAGCTTAATCTTCCTCTGTTCTGGTTGTGTTGACGGATCAGCCTGATGTTAGTCTCGTAAGCACCTCCATATAAAATTCCTCGGGTAGCCGTTACTTCGGAATGTCTCGAAGAGTCTTCGTTCTTTTTTTCTTCGCCTCTGTTGGGTTGCAATGTGTCTCTATCCGCTTGAATAGAGTTCGAACACAGCTCTGCTTGTGACAATTCGGATGGTTGCTGTGGTAATTCGGAATCTGGTCCGTATGTGTTGCTTTCCTGTATACTTCAGTTTGTAGTTGGCCGTTTGTTGTCCTATATTCCACAACACTGCTAAATAAAAACAACTCCAAACTTAGACATCTCTGAGCATTCCCTTAAAAAAACGTGCACTTAGCTACCGTTAATTAAAAAATAACATGTTCGTTTAGATATGATGGATAAACCTATTTCGTCAGAGAAACAGCTGTCAAATTAGAATCAGGTGGTCGCCATGTCATCACGTTTGTAGGCTTACCGTTGCATGATTTGCGGGCAATAGAGAACCAAGAATTTAAAATAGAGATTCGTTAACCAAAAAAGCTAGATTGTATGATATCGACAACGAGTTTTGGCAGCAATTTTTGGGCATTGCTTTTAGTGCCACATGTCTTTTTCCAGTGAAGTGCATCTCGCGGAAGTAAGCACCCTAATCTGGCACAGTAGTTTTTCCCTACGACTAGGTATTCAGTGAACGCAGTAAAATAAAATTCAGCAGATTCCGTCAGGTTCACAACTGCTGCAGCCTTCTCCAGGAAAATCGTTGGCTAAATTGGTCCAACATGATAATGCAGCCGAAAGTATAGGTCAGAACGTGTGTTAGGGCGGGCACTGCGATCTGCACCACAGCGGCTGATGGTCGAGGCGGTGGAAATTACCAAGCATAGAATCAAGGATGTGGAGCTGGCTGGCGA